GAAGAGGTAACAGATCAATTGGATAATAATAACTGAATTTTATATAGCACTTTAAGGTTGGAATACATTATCTTATGGTAGCAACAGGAGAAAGTGTGGCTTGATGTGTCTCTCATTAGAATGTTGAGTTCCTTGAGAGCAGGGACTATATTTTGTTCTTCTTTGTATCCCTTGTGCTTAGCACACTGCCTGGCATGTAGTAAGTGCTTAATGAATGCTAGTTGACTAAGAGTCTCTAGATTTAAAGTTCTGTGATTCAAATACCTATTGAGATTCACTGAAAAGTTATCCTGAATATTAATTCAGGCATAAAAAAGTTGCATCAAAGGTTAATAACCAGAAAGTGTGAAAGTCAGATATATAAAACAATTATTTCTTTTACATTTAAGTTATTGTAAATTTTAAATAGAAATTTCACAGATTATCTATTCTGTTTTTTCTTATAATTAGAAAACTGCAAAATTAAGTTTGATAAATCTTCCCTTGTAAGCAAACTAAAAATTATTGTGTTTTAATGATACAAGGCTTGTTACTATCTACTTTAAAAAAACAAATTGGAATTCTATTTTTAGCAGCAGCAGGAGCTTCTGATGAGGAACTCATTTTATCTATATAAATCAGCACCTGCTTTGTGCCATCTCTATGCTGATGATTTCAAATCTACCTCTCTTGCTTCAAACTTTCTGTTGACCTCCAGTCTCACACCTCCAACTTTCAGACATCTCCAACTGGATGTCCAGTAGACATCTTAAACTTAACATTTCCAAAACTGAACTTTCTCTCTAAACTCTCCCTACCTCCACTTTCCCTATTACATAGAGGACAATACTATTCTCCCAGTGCCTCAGGTTCACAACCATCCTGGAATCTTCACTATTTCTCACCCCTCCTAGCCAATCTATTGCCAAAGTCTGTTGATTTTTTTTCCCTTGCTTTTTGGTGAGGCAATCGAGGTTAAGTGACTTGCCCAGGGTCACACAGCTAGTAAGTATCAAGTGTCTGAGGCCGGATTTGAACTCAGGTCCTCCTGACTCCAAGGTGGGAGCTCTATCAAGGTCTATTGATTTTTACCTTTGCAACATCTCTTGTATATGTCCCCTTCTCTCTTCTGACACTACCTTCGTTATTACCACAGCAACCATTGCAATAGCCTAGTGGTGGGTCTGCCTGGCTCAAGTCTCTCCCCATTCCAATTTATCCTCCATTAAGCTGCCAGAGTGCTTTTTCTGAAGTACCTGTTCAACCATGTCATCTCCCTACCCAATAAATGCCAATGGCTTTCTATTGCCTTGACGGTCAATTACAAAATGCTCTATTTGGCATTCAAAGTCTTCATAACTCAGCCCCTTCCTACTTTTCCAGTCTTCTTATACCTTATTCCCCACCACAAACTCTTCAATTTAGTGACCCTGGGTCTCTTTGCTGTTCCAGAAACAAGACATCTTTTTTTAACTCCAGGGATTTTCCATGCCTGACTCTCCTTCCTTATCTCTGCCTACTTTAAGTGCCAACTAAAATCCTATTTTCTATGGGAAGTTTTCCCCAACTCCTCTTTATTCTAGTGTCTTCTTTCTGTCCCCTCCCTGCATTTATTCTGTATATAGCTTGCTTTGTATACATTTGTGTGCTTGTTTTCTCCCCATTAGATTGTAAGCTTCTTGAGGGCAAGAACTATTTTTTGCCTCTTTTTGTATACCCAATGCATAGTGCCTGGCACATAAAGAGTGCATAGCCAATAATATGTAATTTATGATTTTAGAGAGTTGCCTGGGGGCACTGGCAGGTTGTGATTTGTTTAAGGTCATACTACAAATATATATTCAGAGAGAGGGCTTGAATTCTTGCTTTTCCTGACTTCTTATCTACCAGGCTGCATTTCTTCTATCAATTTTTGGTTGCTTAATTCATTATGCTCCTGACTGTTGCTTTAGGTATAGTACTGTCTTCCATATATTCCTTCCTTATTCAAGGTATGGAATTTCATTCATGGTTACCTATTTTAGCTACAATCTGTTTCAATAGCATAATTCAAACCAGAAGTGAATTAGCCTCTCTTCTGGAAGTAGACAATATTTTCTATTAATTCTTATTAGAATAACATCCAACATTGAGGTATGGTTGCCATTTCCTCCCTGTCCTTTTCCCATGGAGACCAATTTGGTTCCAAACCAGTTCTGGAAGGAAAGTTTGGCCCTTAATTATTTGCAATCTGTAGATTAGGTAGTTCCAAGGTCAACCTGGTCTTTAAATTTTGTTCTACAGTGGGATTGGAGTATCCTTTGACACTGCTCTGGAACATCTGTATTTGGCTGTAGTAGTGGTTCTCAAAGTATGGCCCAAGAACCCTTGGGAGACCCCAAGACCTCTGCAAGGGGAGGTGTCTGAGAAAAACATTTTTCTTCATAATAATACTAAGACGTTATTTGCCTATTAAAATACTCCTCCCTTTTTCAACTACATATCTGTGTGAGGCTGGATTTTCTTCTTACAGAATGAATACAGAAGCAGATATGAGAATCCAACTGTCTTTTATAAAGCTAGGCATTAAAAAGGTTTGCAAAAACATATGAAGCAATATTACTCTTCTCACTAATTTTTTTTTGTTTTGGAAAATGTAGTTCTTTTCAATAAAAATATTATTTATGTTAACCTGTAATGGGTTTATCATTGTTATTTTTAAATAAAAAACATATTTTAAAACTTATTAGATTTAGTTTCTAATATGGTAAATATTGACAGACATATAAACAGACATATCCCATATAAACTTAAAAATTAACAGTGTAAAGGGGTCTTGAAATGCCTTTATGTTGTTCGAGAGCCACTGGGCTAGAGAATTATCATAGGCTCTAAGGGTCTGTTTAGGCAAGGATGACAGTTTTGGATTTTACTTCCAGGGGTCACTTTTTTGGAAAAGAATGACTCTATTTCCCTTCTATCCCTTCCCTCAATTAAGTTTGTAACAGCCCCCAGTGAGGCCAGGGGCCTCAATTCTATTTTCAGGTTTGAAATTTTACGAGTGTGATGTGAATTGGGCTTAATGACAATATCAAAGTAATCTATACAGAGTTGAATTTAGTTAGATTTCACATGAATTTCACCCTTTACTCTTTATTTTGTATTCTGATCCTAACTGTGGAATGAATATACAAAGCATTTCAAGCACATAACACCCAGATGTAGAAAAAGCCTATCAGACTTTAAGTCTATATCTTTTTCTAGCTGGTACATATGAAGGTTCAAGCCTGTTAAATTCACGGTTTTGTTATTGTATAGTTATATTTTAATTATTTAATGGTTTATAATCCAGTTTGTAGATTTTTTAGGTATTCTTCTCTTTACTCTTGCTAATAGTTTTCATAATATCATAGTACTTTGGTACTTTCAGGAAAGGGTAGGGAGGGTCAGAGAGAGGAAATAAATAAATCATTACTGATTGATAACATTCCTGGTAAAAATTTTGAGGGAGAGGTTAAATAGTTAAAAAGTTATCTGTGGATATGGTTTATCCATATTTTTCCTGTCATGATGGATTATCAATAGTAAATGCAATATTATTTTAAAAATAATAACATATTATAATAAATATTAGTAAATCAGGAGTTTAGGGTTAAGTTTTTGGTTCCATCACCTTGACCTTAGTCAAATCAATTTACCTTTACATATTTATTTCTCCATTTGGAAAAGGATATGAAACCATTTTTTCCCCTATCCTCAGAGCTATATGTAAACACACAAATTGCTATCATTTCATCTTTGTTATGTAGTGAAGTGCTCACATATTCAGTTATACCCTTTCTTAGCATCAAGGACATCTGGAGAGGAAGGCAGAGGGACCCCATTATTATCTCCCTGTGTTCTGATTAATCCATCATTTTCAGCCTCCATCTTCTGGTAAATATGCCAATATTATATAGACTTTTTGAAAGGGTTCCACACAGCTCCCTAAGGATAGAGTTTCAGTCTCAGCTACCTCTTCTCAGTATGGCTATATCTCCCATACCAAAGAACTTCTCCAGGTGACAGCCAAGGCCTTTCCTCCCAATTAATCTCTGAGTCTAGAGGCAGGTACTGAAGATAGTGCTATAATGAAAGATTTGTAAGTCTCTTTCCCTCCAGTGAGAATTTTCTGATGTGGGTTATTTAAAAAAGGTTAAATTAGAATAATAATGAAAATAGCTAATATTTGCATAATGCTTTAAGGTTCAAAAAGCACTTTACATATATTATCTCACCTGTACCCTCTGGGAGTTAGGTTCATAATGCCTTTAGAGAGCAGAAGCCAAACAAACAAAAATGAAGGCACCTATTTTTTTTAAAGGAGAAACTAATAATTCTTTGCATAGTGGGCACTTAATAAATACTTGTGGAATAAATGAGTGACATGTGAAAAGTTACTTTTTTTGGAAAAACATTTTTATTTTTTTTTACAAATACTCTATCACTAGTCAGTCACCACAATGTAATATAGTATGATTACAGTTCTAGCAGCATCTCAGCCATAGTAGCTAATCAATCTGTCCAACAGAAAGGATGTCTTTTTTTTTCGGCTTGTGGAAAGAGAAACACAGGACACATGGTAAAAAAGATGTAAGACTCAAACTAAAATAAGAATTGACAGCAAATACGCAATTCTTGGCACTTCAGTTAAAACACAACTGCAGAATTCAAAACTCTAAGTATTAAATAGATGTGAAAAGTGAGAGCTCTCTAAAGATTTCTTAGTCTTTAGAACAAGTGGCTACCTGATCTTTTTTTCTTTTCTTCTGTACACACTGGAGAATGGGGTGAGAGTTCAAGAGAGAAATGAAAAAAGTTAGGAAAGGAAGAAGGGAAAGGAGAGAAACAAGGAAGAAAGGAGGGAAAAGGGAAGGAAAGGGTGGCAGGAAGGGAAGAGAGAATGGAGAAAGAAAGGAAACAAAGGGAGGAAGAGAAAAAAGGGAAGAGGCAAGGAAGGAGGAAGATGGAAGATGGAAGGATGGAAAAGAAGAAGGGGAAGGAGGGGAAAAGAAGGGCAGAAAAGGGAGGGAAGAAGAAAAAGAAAAAAGGTAAGGAAGGAGGCTTTAAAGTAAACCACCTGCTTTTCTTGTTAATCAGGGATCTCTGGAGAGGTGGGCTTCCCAGGCTTCCCCCTGAAAGTCTCAGAAGTCAAAACTTAAGCCACTCAACTGACTAGAAGGCGCTTTCACAGGAGCAGGGGAGCTGCTTTGGGGCAGGCGGTAGTGGTAGGTGAAGGGAGCCCTCCGACGTGGAAGTGCCAGCCTGCTCCCGACGATGATGGTGATGATAGTGGTGGTGGGGCCAGCGGTGCCGGTGGAGTGGCTGGTGTCCCCGGGCCGCCTCGTCCTCGTCCTCCCCGTCTCCTTTCTTCGGGCAGTGGCCACAGCAGCAGACGGTGCCCAGCCTCCTCCATAACCGCCGCAGCCGGCTGTCACCAGCTTGGAAGAAGAGGTAGACATAGGGATTGAGGGCGCTGTTGGTGACCACCACGACGCCCAGGGCAGAGGCCAAGCCCTCGCCCGGCCCTTCGTCAGGGGGCTCGGACGACCAAGCAGCCGCCAGCTCCGCCGCGAAGTAGGGCAGCTCGCAGACCACGAAGAGCAGGGCCAGCACCAACGTCATCTTCAGGCTTTGCACCTTGGCTCGGGTGAGTGCGCTTCGAGCCGGGGCTCTGCAGTGGCCAGCCTCCCAGGCGCAGGGGGACCAGGGGACAGGAGCTGACGCCTGGGGTCGCTGCTGCCACAGAGTCCAGAGCAGGCGGCCGCAGGCGACGCCCAGAATGGCAAGAGGGGCCAGGAAGCCCGCGACGGCCCCATACACCGTGTAGACCTGCAGGTGCCAGCGAGGCAGGGCTCCAAAGATGGTACGGCACCGGCGCTCCCCGGACCACGCCCGGGCAGAAGCCGACGGCCCTGGCGGGCTCTGCGAGGTGGCTAGGGAAGAGTCGGGCGTGGACGCAGCCGAGGGCAAGGCGGGAACCCCACTGTAGCCGTCGGGGAGGCCGGCGGCCGGCCCGCCACGGACCACAAAAGCCTGGGGCAGGGCGAGGAGCAGTGCCAACAGCCAGCCTAGGGCGGCAAGGGCGCGGGTGGGGAGGGGAGGGCCCAGGGGCCGGCTCACCACCCGGTGTCGCTCCAGGCAGATGAGGGCGAGGATGTTGGAGGAGGCCAGGAGCGCTGACACCTGCAGCAGCTTCACTACCCGGCAGGCCAGGTCACCCGTCACCAGGTGGGTGTTCCCCAGCAGCTCCCAAGCCAGCTGCGACAGCACTGTCCCCCCGCACACGTACAGGTCGGCCAGGGCCAGCTGCACTAGCAGAAAGTCCATTTTCCGACGCTTGGGGCCGGCCCAGGGTCCGCCGCCACTGCCGCACAGCGTACAAAGCACGGTGGCGTTGCCCACCACTGCCACCACCAAGATTATCCCGAGGGAAACGAGCCGGACCTTATGGCTTGGAAGAGTGGGAGGCGGGGGCAGCATCCCGGCAGCAGAACCCCCCACAGACGATAGGTTGGTACCGTGGCCCAGCGGGATGGAGAGGTTAGGTACCTGCGGCAGAGGGCCGGGGCCAAAGGGATCCTCCATCTCCTAGCAAAGGCGGCTTGGATGATTGAAGTGTTGGCACCGCAGGGGTGGGCGGGACCGGGCGCGGGAATTCGAAGTGAAGGTGAAGAAGCGCTCCAGCTGCGGGGCTGCGGGGTTAAGTTCCTTCTTGGAAAACAAACTTTCTTGAAAACGCACAAAGAGTGTTGAATGCCGACGGATTTGCGCTCTCTCTCCTTTTTTTTTTTAATAGGTTGTGTCTCCGTCATTTGACACTGCGTTGTGGGTTGTGCACCAAATGAAGGCACGATTGCTTATTCGCCACCCCCACTTCGAGCCGCCGCCGCTGCAGCTTTCCCCCTCCAACCAGTCCTGCCCGCCCCCTGTCTTCCCTGGAGCGCGCTGAATGGAGTAGATCAGCCTTGAGAGACCAGCGCACACACAAGTGGCCTTGCAGCCCAGTCAGAGCACTCTCCAGGAAGAAAAGCGCTTGGACCGATAATTAATGATTTGGCCGGAGCCTTGCAACCATCTCCCCTGGGAAAGCAGTTGCCTGCGGGAAGCACCTGGCTGCCTGGGGCTTTAAAGAGTCTTCTTTAAAGAACTGATGTATTTCCTTTAAACGCCTGGATGGGGACGATTAACCTGGTTTAAAGCGTGGCTCGGTGTAAGAATGAGAAAATAAAAACACAGAACCCAATAGCAATATATGAATAAAATCAAACCAGAAGAATCTCCGAGAAGCTTGGTACGTATAACCCGTCCAACAATGAGTGTGGATTTTGTTGCAGTGACTTCTACCAGGAATGAAGTCAAAGACTTGCAGTTGTGATTTTCTGATCACTAAAGGCATTCCTCTTTTCCAGAGTAGCAGACTGCTACATTCTCTGCAATGTGAAATTAATTTCATTAGTCTAAAGAATGAATTAATGGGTTTTATGCAAATAAGTAATCCTTTTATTGCTTTTCACCTTGTATTTTGATGCAGGGACGGATGTATCGTTTCTTCTCACTCTCTTGATTTCCCCTTCCACCAGATGGGAGGTTGCTAAGAGGGACTACGCCTTCATTAAACCTAAGAAAAGGTGACTAAGAAAACGTAAAAGCAGCCATTTTTTTTTTGGAAAGAGAAATCCAAGTAATAGAAATTGGTTTAGATTAACAGACATCTCCTCCTGAGCTCCCCATAAACAAGATTTAATTTTTGCTGCTTGAACCGTTGCTGCCCTTCCAACATAACAAGGCCACCTAGGTTAAGGATTCTTGCACCAGTCTGGTTCGTGGTTAGGGCAAAGGTAAATAAAATGCTGTTACTGAAAATCCTAGACTTGGGAAAGCTATAAAACTGAGTGCTAGAACCCTAACGGGTTTGCCTAGGTATCCCTCTTGCCAACTCTTTTCTTTTTTTTTTTTTGGCTAGGCAATGGGATTAAGTGACTTGCCCAAGGTCACACAGCTAGTAAGTGTTATGTGTCTGACGTCGAATTTGAACTCAGGTCTTTCTGAATCCAGGGCCGGCGCTCCACTTCGCCACCTAGCTGCCCTCCAACTCTTTTCTTAAAAAAAGATTTTGACATATGCTTTTCAATAATGGCTCCACTGCTCATTCTCCCCACCCCCAAATGGAGCCAGAACTCTGGACTGGGGTTAGGGATTCTAATCCTAGTCCTTAAAGTCAGTTGTCTAACTCTGGATAAGTCACTTTACCTCTCCCGGGACCTATTTTCAGTAACTGTCAAATGAGAAGGTTGTTGTAAGTCCTGCCAGTGGGGCAGCTAGGTGGTGAAGTGGATAAAGTGCCAGGCCTGGAGTCAGAAAGACTCATTTTTTCAACTTCAGGTCAAATCTGGTCCCAGACACTTACCACCTGTGTGACCCTGGGCAAGTCACTTAACCTTGCTTGCCTCAGTTTCCTCATCTGTAAAATGAACTGGAGAGAGAAATGGCAAGTCACACCATCAAAAAGCACTGCTAAAATAGGATCAGTAAGAGTACAACACAACTGAAAAAAATTTGGGGCAGGTAGGTGGCAAAGAGGATGGAGGGCTGGCTGTGGAGTCAGGAGGACTTCAGTTCAAATCCCACCTCAGACAATTACTAGCTGTGTGGCCCTGGGCAAGTCACTTAACCTTGTTTGCCTCACTTTCCTCATCTGTAAAATGAACTGGAGAGAGAAATGGCAAGTCACACCATCAAAAAGCACTGCTAAAATAGGATCAGTAAGAGTACAACACAACTGAAAAAAATTTGGGGCAGGTAGGTGGCAAAGAGGATGGAGGGCTGGCTGTGGAGTCAGGAGGACTTCAGTTCAAATCCCACCTCAGACAATTACTAGCTGTGTGGCCCTGGGCAAGTCACTTAACCTTGTTTGCCTCACTTTCCTCATCTGTAAAATGAACTGGAGAAGGAAATGACAAACCACTCCATTATCTTTGCCAAAATTTGAGTTCCTAGCCCCACTACATATTTTGGTGATCTGGAGCAAGTCACTTTACAGATGTAGAGATCATAAAATTCAAATAGACATATTGTAAAGGAAAATCATTTATTCATATTAAAAACCATATTATTGATGCTTTCTGTTTTTACATGACAGTAATTCCATACCTTCCTTTTCCCCTTTGAAATCTCCTTTGTGACAAAGAATATGCCACCTCCATTTAATCTTTGAGGAAAAGGTGGGGAGGCACACTTTAATTTCTATTGGAGAGGAAAAGGCATTTGGGGAAAAGGTCATTTAGTCATTCAGTCAATGAAGATGTATTAAATACCTGCTACATGCCAGGCACTGTGCTAAGTGCTGGGTTATGAAGAAAGACAAAAGACAGTTCCTGCCCTGAAAAAGCTCACAATCTGGGGGGGGGGGGCAGAGAGAAAAGCAAACAACTATGTACAATCAAGCTATATACAGGACAAATGGGAAATAATAATGATACAATAGCTACCATTTACATAGTGTTTACTATGTGCCTGGCACTGTATCAAGTACTTTACAAATATCAGAGATGAGAGGTTAGGTGGGGTTTTGGCTGAGACTTGAAGAAAGGCAGGAGGCAGAGATGAGGAGGAAGAGCATTCCAGGAATGGGGGATATCCAGAGAGAAATGTCAGGATTCAGATGGAGCGTCCTGTGTAAGGAAGATAGAGGAGACTAGTGTCACTGGATCAGAGTATGGGGGTGGTGGGGGTGGAGGCGGTAATAAGACCAGCAAGGTGGTGGTTAGGTTATGATATTAAATATGAATGATATTGGATGACAAAAAGAAGACTTATGTTTTATCCTAGAGGTGACAGGAAGCCACTTGAGTTTATTCAGTGGGAGGGGTTGTGGTGATGTGCATGAATTGGTTAGACCTGGACTTCAGGAAAATCACTTTGCAGGATGGATTGGAGAGAGACTTAAGGCACACAGAACTACCAGCAGCATATTACAGTAGTTCAGGTGTGAGGTGATGAGGGCCTGCACTAGAGTGGTGGCAGCGTCAGAGAGAAGGGGGTGAGAGATGTTGCAAAGTGAAACGAACAGGCCTTCGCAACAGACTGCATATGCACGGTGAAAGAGAGAGGGGAGTCAAAGATGACACCTACGCTGGGAGCAGTCTTTGTGCAGGACTTTCAGACAAGACATATTTAACTGAATAAGTAAAACACAACATTTGTAATAGGGACATTTATTAGCATAAATATAAAAGACATTCAAGAGAATTCACAGAATGGCAGTAAACATGATTGAAGAACTGTTGAAATATAAACAAATTCAAAGAATGGAATCCCACTTTTATTCATTTGTAAAAAGTACTTCAGCAGAACATTTTTCAAAGTAACTACAATGATAACATAGTTAAGGTTGGATCTAGGTTCCTGCTACTCTCAACAAATCCAATTCCCCAGGCTCACAAGCTTCAATCCAGCATGCCAAAAGAATGAACATATTCAAGGAGTGAAGTGATTCACAGTCTAATGAGTCTTCTGACTTACTGCCTTGGTGATGCTGGGCAAGTTATGTAAGTAACTTCAGTGGGCTTCACATTCTTCTACAAAATAAGGCACCAGACTCTTCATCTTCTCGCTCTAAACCTATGATCTTATGGCTGTTCTTATTTGATATATAATAAACTTTAATGATTCAATAAATGTTAAAACATCTCATGGAGGTATTATCTTTGTATTAGAGTATTTGTAACTATATAGTTGTTCTTTCATATTTTATTTAAGCTGTTTAATATCAGCACTTGATGGCAGCTACATTAGAAAACATAATTCTATAAACATCCAGCTTCTATTTTAAAATATATCAGTATTTAATAAAATTGCTTTGACTGCTAATGATCACTTAATTACCAAATTTCACTATACCTTTAGGGATAAAGACTGTTGTAATTGTATACATATTTATACCACTCATATAAAGATATAAAAGCATATAAGTAGAACATATTGTTACACATTTTTGTACAAATATTTTATAAATTAGTGTTGGTTTTAAGCCATTGGTTAATTGCACTTTCATACTTCCTTGGTTCTTTCAACCAGTCCTGGTGCCACCTAAGGTTTGCTATAACTTTTGTATAGTTTTGTCCTAAGCTGTCTTTCCAACTGATAAACTCTTTCTTGTTGTACTGGTGGACAGAAGCAGAAACCACAGGGTAGTTTATAATGGATCGAAGCTTTTGGTCCAGAGAATGAGTGATTTCTGGAAACCTTGTGGCTATATTTATTAATTCATCTGGATCTGAAGAAAGATCTGAAAGAAAAAAATTTATATGGCTGAATGATGTATTTATTATTATTCAAAATCAAGTCACCTGCTAGAAAGATACCACTTTATGATGAATTCAGAATACAATTCAGAATGTCATTATTTTATGTTAGGTTTGGTATTATGTGAGAAACTGTTTCCTTTTTCCTCTTTTTGGTTAATGTGAATGCTGAGCAGGAGGGGTACCCTTGGAATGCAAATCAGGAATGGTCCCATCTGCCTGGCTGACAAAGGCAATGCCCTACCACTATTTTTGGCTTCCTGTTGTCCTTTCCTGTCCATTCTGTAGGGATAACAGAAGCAAAGTAGGGAGCACTCTAATGTCAGGGCCTTATCATTAGCAATGTGGCTTGAAACTTTTTAACAACTGGGGGCAGGTAGGTGGCACACTGGATACAGCACTGGCCCTGAAGTTAGGAAGACCTGAGTTCAAATCTGACCTCAGACCAAACACTTGACACTAGCTGTGTCACCCTGGGCAAGTTTTTTAACAATCTCAATTGCCAAAGTACAAGTACTGCTGGTACTTAACAGTAAATTATGAAGATAAATTCCTCAAGCATCATACAAAAATAACACCTGGATCCATAGATTCTTGATATATTTAAGAGACAAATAACTTGTTCTTGAAACCTTGGTTATATGTAATTTCTTTCATATTGTTATTTTCTACTAAGGCAAAAAATTGCCTTCTTGACAAAGGGGATATGATTCTAGAGTAAACAAGTTTCTGGTAGATATATTTAAGGATGTAACATTCCTTTAATTTAAAATATGCCAAGAATATTGCGTATGATGTATTATATTTAAAGTATGATGAAGGTGCTGGTTCCTCTAGGGTTAAGCACAGTTTTGTGCACAAAGTAGGTGCTTAATAAAAATTTGTCTAATCATTATTAGAAAGCTATTTAAATAATTCATACCAGAAATATATTGACTGACAAAAGTAAAGAACTTTGTCCAATTAAATTTTATTTATAAAGTACATTCAGAATAAAAAGTGACATCTATTCTTGATTTGTTGCTACATTGAAGCATTGTGAAAATAAGTTTGGGTAGAACTATTCCTCTTCTCTTCCCTTTCCTCTCAGGCTATGTGTATGTGGGTGTTCACCAAAAAGCTTTAGGTATGCGGGAATGAATTTTATAAATACCTTGTGCATTTGGTAATTCTTTGTTTTCCTAAAAGTTCTGATTGCCTTAGGGTTGCCTATGTCTATAACAACATTACCTATCTGGTGGTGCAGTGAATAGAGCTCTGGCCTAGGAGTCAGGAGGACCTGAGTTCAAATCCAGCCTCAGACACTCAACACTTAGTAGCTATGTGACCCCAAGCAAGTCACTTAACCCCAAATGCCTCACCAAAAAGCAAAAAAACCCAAAACAAAACAAAATAAACAACAACAACAACAAGCCATTACCTATTTGGTCAAATTCTACTGAGTGTATATAAAGTTGGAAAGGCATTTTGGGGCAAAATTCAATGTCTAATTAAGAAATGATTGAAGGTTTCTGAGTAATCTGATTAACTCAATTCAATTCAACTAATACTGACTGAATGGAAAGGTAGGTTGAGGCCAAATTGTGGAGAGATTTGAGGGTAAGGAAATTTAAGTTTATTTGGTATGTTTTTATTTTATTGATGAGGCAGCTAGGTGGTGAGAGCACTGGGCTCGAAGTCAGGAAGACCTGAGTTCAAATCTGGGCTCTGACACTTACTACCTATGTGATCCTGGACAAGTCACTTAACCTTTAACTGCCTCAGTTTTCTCAACTGTAAAACAGGGATAATAACAGACCCAACCTCTAAGGGTTGTGAGGATGAAATGAGACAATATCTGTAAAGCACATAGCACAGTACCTGGCACATATGAGGCACTTAATAAATGTCTGTTCCCTTCCCTTTGCCTATGTAATGGGGAGCCTTTGAAAATTTTAAAGTAAGGGGATTAAGTAATTATGAAATATACTTCAGGAAGATGAATCTGGCAGCAGTTTATAGGACGCTTCTGAAAAGGAAGAGAGACTGTAATCAGTAGATTCATGAGGAGGTAATGAGAGCCTGAACTAGGCAAGTAGTAGTAGGAACAGAGGGAAAGTTGGCAAATAGAAGGTTTTAGCAACTGAATGGATATGGTAAGTAAGAGGGCCAAGGAATGGTCAAAGATGGCTTGAAAACTGCAAATATGGATACTGGGAGGATGATGGTGTTATTGATAATAATGAGATCTGAAGGAGAAGCAGTCTTTTGAGGGAAGATGAGTATTCAGTTTTCTATAGTTTGAGGTATTAGTGGGGCATTTATATGATGCGCTCTACTGTGATGTACTACTGAACAGATCATAGTAACATAAATCCAATCATATTTCAAGTGATACCAATTAAAACAATACTTATATAGCTTGTTCTTATGCTAATAATATAATTTTCACATAGTTCTTTATAGTAATGAATCTTAAAGTATGACTCTAAAGGCACAGCATATGGTGCTTATAATAGTCTTTAGGTTACATTTATTAACATTGTTTAGGAAAAAATGGCAGTGAAAGTTAAAAAAAATTCAACCACAGCTAGGGCAATGTTAACTTTCAAATATGTAAATACCATTTTCTATAAATAAAATATGAACAAAGGAGCTTAAGATGCAGATAACCTCTATGAGTAGCTAATATTTATAGATGACAAACTCCTGATGAATTCTTTTGTATATTTTAATGAACAATTTATACTGACAATGTAATTTACTTTCTCTAAAGTAGGACTTTCATGTCTCATCATGGTATGAAGGTGGTTTTGGGTTCTTGAAGGCTATATCAGCAGCACAAGCTAGTGTGTTCTCTCCCTCTCTCTGTCTCTCGCTCTTTTTTCCTCTCATCCTCTCAAGTAGGAAAGTCTCTGAATACGGCCCTGATAATATGTCATTGTTTGAGGTCTACCCTACCTAAGTTTGGAGAGGTTCATTACCAAAAAATGTCTACCAAGTGTGAGGCTTTTGGGCACAGTCACTCACAAAAATGTCTAATGTGGAGTAGATCAGAGGTGTCAAATGCCCAGCTAGCAACCCACAACACTCCCAAGGAGGTCCTGAACTAGATTAAAATGTAACTGGGAAATATTTAACAAAATTTTTAACAATAAAACACAGATAATATTAATACATGTTTTTTCTAATTCAGCATGTGGCCCACAGGGATCCTTATGCTTAATGCCCTCCATTCTATTTGAGTTAGCTACCACTAATGTAGAGGGATTGCAATTGAAAACCTACGCTGATGAAAACACAGCTCTTCCAATGCATGTCTAAGTAATGTAATTTGCAAAGACAATTAAAAAATAAGATTTTGGATATTATTAGGTTCTATTAGATTCTCAAGTTTCCATTTGAACACTGTTATAAAAATCATTGCTTGATTCCTTCCTTTACAACAGTGTATACTGTGTCCCACAGCAGAAAAGAAAACCTCTTGCTGACATGGCCTATGATTCTCTTTGTCACTTTTGCTTCCTAATACATGATGTTATATGATAGCTCTTTAGGGCAAGGATACCAGTGAAAAAACACTGTAGAATTCCAGGTGAGACTACTCATTGGTTTCCTTTCCTGGTCTACCTCTGGTTCTTTTAGAAAGCTATCTCTTGGGACACATAAGGAGGGCCATGATCCATTCATGAGCATATAATCAGCCCAAAGTCATCTTTAGATGCTGACATTCTGAACTTTGGTTGTAGGGGAACTGGTCAATGTTAACTGTAACTACAACTAATATGTTACTATAATACAATACTTTTATATTATCATATAAAATAACAATCACATAGTGCTTTAAATTTTCTGAGATGCTTTCTATACATTTTTTCATTTGAGCCTTGCAACTACCCTGTGAGATAGTAACTGCAGGTATTACTAGTCCCTGATGATGAAAATGAGACTCAGAGAGTGTAAATGAAAGCTGTCCATTGTCACCCAGCCAGTAAGCGTCAGAAGTGGGATCTGAACTCAGGTCTTCCTGAATCTGATGCTGGCTCTCTCTACCCTACTCTCAGTAAGAGTTGCTTTGAATAACAACTTTGATAGTTTAAAGAAAAACAGGCATTAACGTGATTAAGGAAAAAAAAACTGGCATTAATATGTGATTTAAAAAATCTAGAATGTCTATCATAAGAAATAATTTAAAATACTATTATAATATTCCTGTCTGAATTGTTTCCTTTAACAACAGAATACAAAGATTTTTAGAAATTTAAAGACTTTAATACCCATTTTAATTCATTCAATATCAATGAAAAATTATATTCCTACTTTTGCCAAAAAAGCATAACACATCGCCATGAGGCAGGAGAAGAACCCTTCAATTTCTAATGGTATATCTGCTGCAAGAAACTGGTGCAATGTATATGCCTACTGGATTAAAGTCTGATTCATTCTACTTCTGTCTAGTGTACTACGAAAGGACAAGAACTGTGAAGTTAATGAAATCCTGTTTTGAAGATCTCCACTAGAATCAATTTTCTACCTTTAAGGAACAATTTTTTTTTCTCCCAACTTGCTGTTAATCTGGCTAGTAAGGTACTCCTACTTTTGCCCTTTGCTCCACTAATTAACTTTAAAAGTATATTAAGAGTTTGCAAGGCAGAGCAGAACAGAGAGAGAGAAAGTCAGCCTTACAATAATCACGGAAGACATGAGATCAGGTTCTGCTTCTGACCCATCCTGGTTACGGGACCCTCAAGCACAACACCTACTCTCTTAATACTTTAGGCAACATTAACACTACAAAGGGTAGTACATTTGCCAATAGTTCTAAATAGGAGTTATCTACAACAATGAAATCACAGATACGGATAAAAAATAAGAATATAATAAAAATATAATTTAAAAACATATATATCAATTGATTTACCAAAGAGTTGAGGAAGTGATGAGGCACCATCAGAGTAAGCTATGTATTTCCATTTGCCAATTCTCAGCATATAGGTGGAAGCATTCACATTGCAGCCGTGGAATTCACTCAGAATCCAGGGAGGGCGTGGCCTTGTGGATTTAGAATTATTCCTGGAAGCTTCTGATGATAATGGAATCAAAGAATATCCACTCAGGTTCTGATGGAGAGGAAGAGGAACTCCAGCGATATCTAGACATCAAAAATACAACAATAGTTTTTAATAAAGCTAAAGATACCTACCATATTATTCACATTTTTTTCATGCATCAGGCCAAGGGATGGTTATATTTATTATGAGGAAAAATAAATCATGCTTTTGATACTGAGCACAGAAGAGGTGTAGTTGTACGAAATAAGCATAAAAAAGTCAGCATGATAGAATAAGAAATCAATTTACAAATTGATTCAAATTGTGCTCAAAAAGTTTGTTTGTAAATCAGTTGTTTGGAACTTGCAATGCATTTTTTCCACCAGGACAATGGTTAGGTTCCTAAGCCAGACCAAAAAAAGCCCGTGAACCCACAATGCACCAGAAACTATTTTTCATTTACAATGTAAAACAGAAAACAACAATGTTCAACAAACTTCTTAAGTACTGGTTTCCCAATCTATAAATGGGAATACCACTATTTGCATTTTATACTTTACAATGTTGTTGAGAAGATTAAATTTCTATATACTGCCCAAATCTCTCCTGAATTCCCACCTGCTAGTTAGATTATTTCCAAATGGATGGCTCATAGGCATTTCAAACTCAACATGTCCAAAATAGAATTCATTATCTTTCACAATTAAACCTGATCCTCATTATAACATCCTTATTTTAGCTCAGGGCACCAGTATTCTTCTAGTCACCTAGGCTCATAACCTCAGAGTTGTAGTAATAGTTAAGATTTATATAGCACGTTAAGGTTTGCAAAGTGCTTTACATATATTATTTCATTTGATTCTCACAACCCTTTGAGGTAGATTTTATTATTAGCATCCTCATTTTATAGTAACTCCTTCTTCATGCCCCATGGCCAATTACTTGCCCAGACTTGTGGAAGTTACCTCCAACATCTATCTCATATCCATAGCCTCTTCCCCACTCACATAGCCAAGACCCTAGTTTAGGAGCCCATCACCTTCGTCCGGACTATCATAATTGTTTTCCAAATGGATATTCAGCTTTTAGTGTCTCTCTCCTCCAAGCCATCTTTCCCACAGCTGCCAAAAAAAACCTACCTAAAGTATAAGTCTTTGACTGTCATGATTCAGTATGTTTACTTTTGCTGACATCTCCCTTTGCCCCTGCTGCCCCTTTTAGCCGTTGTGAGTTTCTCCTGGAACCGCTGCGCCCAGTGCAGCCAGCTTTCCTCCTCTGGACCTCCCCATCAGGCCTCAGCTGCCTTCTCTCTCTGCCCTAGGGACCTCTTCTCCCATTGATGGATTTCTCCTGGAAGATCATTTTGAGGAAAATCCCAAATCAGTCATCCCTCATTCTCCTGGAGTTTGACACTCTGCCCCAAGGTGGATAACTGCCACCTCTCTTCCTTTTTCAGTGCCCTGTATGTGTTATCTCCCATCATTAGAATGTAAGCTCTTGAAGACAGGACTGTCTTTTTTGTTTGTATTTGTATTCTCAGTACTTGGCTTAATGCCCGGCACATAATAAGCCCTTAAAATGCTTATTGATTTGACTTGCTAAAAGAATTATGTATATTACTTTTCATGAATAATAATTTTTAATTTTATCAATATATTATACATTGATTGCACTGAATGAACAAATTTATTTCCTATGGATCTAATGCAAAATATTATGTAAAAATGCGACTTTTTGGGGGAGGGAATTGTATGCTATATGCACACCTCATCCTATTCTGAATTTTAATTTTCAAAGGACTACAAATGTTTGTTATGGGGAAGATGTTACATACTGTCCCTTTATATGTGTATATTTTGATTTCTGAAAGGGACAGGAACAGAACATTTGTCTAAGGGACACTGATAAAATCAGCTTGAGAAGAAACAATTAATTAAAATGTTGTAGAAAGACAGACTGTTCTGAGGACTTGAGAGAAAACGGCATCTCAGATAAACGCACTAAGAGGTCTTGCTTGAAAGCAGAGCACAGTTTCAGTTGCATATGGTTGCAGGGCATTGTGGTCTATCAGATCATTTATGTGTGACCGTCTTTAGAGTTGTGAAAGATAGAGTTGATAAACTACATATCAAATAACTGTTTTGGAACAATGGGAAGACTATATAAGAACTGGGTGGAAAGGTGAAATTTTTGAATTTTACATTACAAATTTGAGATGGGTCACTGCTTTTGAGGTCCTGATTTTAGACATTAGAAACCAGAGACAGGAGGACTAAGAGATGATCAGGTGAAGAAAGAATCAGGAGAATTAGGAAGCACAGGAGAAGTTCAGGCAGAAGTCACAGGAGACAAGAAAAGTTGCTCTCAAGACAGAATATAGAGACTAATAGCTTTTGACTGAAGCTGACAGGCTGCTCTGCAGCAGTGTTTCTGGAAGTCATGCTGACTGGATGAGAGGCATTGCTTTTCTGAGATTTGACTGGCTGGATAAAGACACAGTTGCCCCTAATGCCATCTACAGCCTGAGGAAGGGAAAGCTCTGAGATGTGCTTGTGCTACCCTTGACTGCTTTTCTGGTATGAGAGGGAAAAATAAAGGTGGGAAGACAGGTTTTGCATCTGCTTTGATGTGAGAGCCTATTAGGAGAAAACAGAATCCCTTGCTGACTGATTAGGAGATGACTGCAATAGTCTAAGAGAGGGGATTATAAAATACAGAAACGAATTTCTATAACTCACAGATGTCACTGTGCCTTCATCTAGAATCATCTTCTTTCTGAACTGCTTCACCTTCTCTCATTGGCCTTGCATCAACTTTCATATCATACTGCTTTTTTTAAGTTGTCTTTTTTTCTGTCATGAGTCTAACAATAACAATTAGTATTTATCAAGCAGCTACTATGTGCCAGACATAATTCTAGGCAACAGAATTGCAAATATAAAAATAAGAAAGTCTCTGTGCTTCAGGAGCTTACAGAAGAGCTGACTGTGGAAAGGCTGCATGGCCCTATCATTATCTATAGCTTGAGACAGAAGAGAAACTCCTCAGAGACCTGAGCAGATCTGAGGAGTCTGGAAGTTCTCTGGCTCAAGGGAAATGCATGTCACTAAAAAAGCATAACACCTTCTCAGATCCCTTCCAAGGGTAATTGTATGCTAAAAGAGCTTGTATGATTCAGCAGCCTGTGAGTAGAAGAAGAGTAGTTCTGATAAGCAGGAGAGCTGTGAGGAGTAGAATAGGAACAGAGAAGTGGTTTTGCCCACCAGGAGATACATGGTGCAGACTGAAGGCCGGCAGTTGAGAGTTATGAGAGGTCCTAGGCACATAGATCTTATTACTTTTTATGCCTCCCTACTAGGTATCTGTCTGTGCTCATTTAGCTCCATAGACATTAAGTCCATTAGTGGGAGAGTGTAACCCAGGTTTATGAGTGGATCACTCCTGTTTTCACCTTTTATAGAGTAAATGCTATGATTATTTTTGCTTTTGACTTATCAGAAGCATGAATTCAGGGGTTCAGGAGCTACAAGTGGTAAGGAGTAGAAGTGCAACCCTCCAACACTAGGATTACTCCCAGGACCCAGACAGCAAGTTTGACTTGTAGCCACACCTTAATGGCCAATGCCACCCCTTTTTCCTCCAGGGAAAACACCTCAGATTTGCCAGCATGAGTTTAGGTTGGGGGGGGGGAGTGATCTAGCTCTAGGATAGGGGTGTGTACAGTCAGTAGATAAATATTTATTAAGTACCTAATATGTGCCAGGCACTATGCTAAGAGTTGGAGATAAAAAACAGTCCCCTCTCCCAGGAAACTCACAATTTAAAGCAAGGGTTCTTAACTTTTTTGTGTTATGAACCCATTTGGCAGTTTGCTGACATCTAAATACAACTCAGGATAATTTCTTAAATGCATAAATTATATTGGATTTAAAGGAAAAACAATTAAATTGAAATACAATTATCAAAATATTTAAAAAAGCAAGTTCACGGACTCTAGATTAAGAACTCTTAATCTAAAGGATTTGGGGAAAAAAGTTGACCGGCTTGTTCAGTAGAATGTAAGCTCCTGAAGCACAGAGACTGTCTTATTTTTATATTTGCACTTCTATTGCCTAGAATTATGTCTGGCACATAGTAGCTGCTTGATAAATACTAATTGTTACTGTTAGACTCATGACAGAAAAAAAAGACAACTTTAAAAAAAAGTAGTATGATATGAAAGTTGATGCAAGGCCAATGAGAGAAGGTAAAGCAGTTCAGAAAGAAGATGATTCTAGATGAAGGCACAGTGACACCTGTGGGTTATAGAAATTCGTTTCTGTATTTTATAATATCCTCTCTTGAACTACTGCAATCATCTCCTAATCATCTGTTGGTCTCCCGACCTTAAATCTCTCCCCTCCAATCTATTTTCCATGCAGCTGCCAGAGTGATAGCAATAAAGCACCAGTCTGACCCTGTCATTACCATGTCATCAATAAAGTCTGACCATGTCATTACCCTACTCAAGAAGCTCTAATGGCTCCTTTTTGCAATTAGAATCAAATATAAACTCCTGTTACGCATTTAAAGCCCTTATGGAAGTATACAGAACTGAGGCCTTATAAAATCATAAAATAATAAAATTTATAATATCATTCAATTTAAGTATTAATATTTTAACAGTATCCTGGTCTGATGTCCTTGGTCTCCTTTGAATGAAGACCTGATCAGTCTCTCTTGAAGGAACACAGAATCAAAATAGGAGACATATGTAATTCTCCAAAGAAGGCAGATTTGCAGGTAGCTCATCAAATTGGGTTTATGGTGGATGAACTAAGAGTGACAATATCTTCTTGCTGACCACATGAAGAGAGGCATCCCTTTTGTTTACCACTGACCAGAGTGAAAGATGCAGTCTTTAGAGGGAATAGCTAGTTTCTGGAAATCATCTTTTACTAAGGATATGTGCTGATATCTACACTGATCTCTTTATTTAGTAATTTAAAAAACTCTAAATGAATATGTTTTACTATTGCTATAGGATTCCATCTTTTCCACAATTACTATAAAATGTGAGTTGGGAACTCTGTGTGTCTGTGTGTGTGTGTGTGTGTGTGTGTGTGTGTGTGTTTTGACAGGCAGAGCAGGGAAGTCTTCTTCCTTTTCTTCTTTTTAGCAGGAAGCCCTTTGCTGGTCAGAATCTCTTTCCAAGCAGATGCTTCACATTTAAAAAATAACGTCTCTGTAAGATTTGGGTAAAATGCAAGGGAATACTTTTCTCCCTTCTTCAAAATCTAGCTCTAAACTACTTTCCGGGATTATTATATAGTGCTCCCCTTCATGCATTCTATGTTCCAGACAAAACTAGATTTCTTGTTATTCCTCACATACAAGATTCTGTCTGCCATCTCCATGCCTAGGCATAGGTCATCTCCCAGGTTTGAAATGTACTCTCTTCTTACATCGTCTTCTAATAAATCCCTAGCTCTCTACAAGAACCACTTCCTACATAAAGTCTTTGTTGAATGCTTTTAGCAGCTATTATCCTGCACCTATGAAATCACCTTGTTTTACTTTGTATTTATGTAATATCCACTTCAACGATATATCAATGCCCCCAGCAGAACATGAGCTCCTTGAGGACTGAGACTTTGTATACCCAGAACCTAGGAGCACCTGGGACATAGGTTATTAATAAATGCTTAAGGATCAACTGATAATCCTATGACTCATATGAATATTTTGAAGGAAATGGGATTAATTACGGGGAGTGAAGAGCAGAAGGATACATTTTACTTTTTATAAAGTTGAGTCATATACAACTTACTCAAAGCTACTGGCAAGCTAGCAAGAGCTGCCTTGGTACACATTCTTCCTAAGCTACACAACAGTAATACAAGTTCGTACTTCAGACCGAATCACATAACTTACCTAGCAGCGTGGGGTAAATATCTACAAGAGATACCATATCTGGGACCTGGAGGTTTGCTTTAATGCTGGGCCCCATCATCAGCAGAGGAACATGCGAACTTGCTTCGTACATGCTCATTTTATAGAACTGGCGATGGTCCATGGCCAGCTCACCATGGTCAGAGGTGAATATAACAATAGTCTTCTGAAGAAGATTTAACTGGTAAAGAGTCAAAATAATCTCACCTATCAAAAAAAGAACAAGCTATTTTAAAAAAAAGATGATTACATACGTACATGTATGTATATTTATATATTCAAATGGATTTTTTACTTCCTTCACTTTGGACTTTTCCCTTAATGATACAGACTGCAACCCCTCTGTCCTGACAATCCTGTGCACCTCTTGTTTATGTCTGACCAAAAGTGCATCCCAAGGGGTTCACCCAATGTGCTGGACACCTTCTTTGCTTTCTCTCTATGTTATAAGGGTACCAGTGGAGCACTTGTCTACTTGTCGTCTAACATGCCATCAGTTCATTTTCTCTTCCTATTATACAATCCTTTGATGATATCTTTTTCTCCAGTTCTTATCAGAATTTATTAACCTCATTGGTTACATGAGGTTACACTGCTCCCACTCATCATATGTACTATATTAAGTGTTGAAGATGCAAATATGGAAGTGAAAGACAGTTCTTGCCTTCATGAAACTTTCTTCATTACTTAGTCTTTCTTACGTGGATGATCAAGTTAAATTTTTTTGAGCAGTTACACATCTAAGTACTAAGTACCATGAGCAAAGATTACTCTATATTCTTGCCTTGTATACTTTTGTAGAAAAATTGTGAATATATTGATTTATATTGTTTTAAATTATATTATAGCCAACCACTATAAAGCTGGGAAAGCCTTAGTAACATCACTGTTAGTACCTATTTATAACATTATTCCTGAAAAATAAATGACATAATAATGTTTTATCCAAAATGATAAAGGGTATCAGGTGGAATATGCCTATACATAATTGACAGTAGCTCCACAGCTGAGAGATACCAGCCCTGTTTACCACTGCCAATGCTAGAACTGCATATGGTAACAGACGCTGCATTAAAAAAAAAAGTGACTTGACTGCCTTTATCACAGGTGACTGCTATGTTAATAAGGCTACTCTTATTTTGCCATTATTAAAATCTTATTGAAATAGTCCAAGGCATAATGAAGAGAGTTTTGGACTTGGGATCTAGAAGATCTGACTTCACTTTCTAAGATGCTTAATTGGTGTGTGATCTTGGGCCAGTCAATTTCTCTTCTTCTGAGAGATGGTTCAAATATCCGTTCAAATATGGAATTTCTATACGAATGAAATCACAAGTCCTTACTGTGCTGTCTTCATTTTATCAATATATTGCTCTTAAAATAATTCTTATTATAAAATGCTAGTTTAGAAACTAAACTCCAAGTTCCTAAATTTTGTTAATATTCTAATATTGGCAAAAAACCTCCTGCTGCTTCCTCTCACCTCCTAAAAAAGGACTAGAATTCACTGTCTTCATAATCTGAGAATATGATAATCATAGATAGATTAATTCTAAACTGCAAAGCAAACCCTTTCCTGATATGTTACCAACTGAAGGCTGCTTTAATTTTGAACTGGCCTTGAACCACCATGAAAGGAAATCTGTTTCAGCTGCAGGTCAGCCTTGGTTCCTAGAATCCTAGGTGAACAGAACGATTCTGGATCCACCTGGACGCTAAGAGTTTGACAAAGGGCAGACCAGACTTTTAGGACTGATTCTACACCTTATAACTAAAGCTGTGCTTGCAATGCCCTGTCATTTGCCTACCCACGTTTGGCTCATGCCCAAAAATCAGCCTTCTCATCCAAAAAAATTGTCTTAAGCAGATGGTAGCCTTCTTTGATCCTTCCTTAATGTTTGAATAAACTGAATTATCTTCCAAGTTATTTTATCAACTGATAATGGAGATATGCAAAGGTTTATTCCACAACTAATAGTATGTCTTCCAGTCTTTCCGTGTTATCAAGTAGGCTGTCTCTAAGCAACTGTTGTATGAACAGCCTTGAGTAATTTTCTACAAGTCACTAAGCCAGCCTGAATCAGAGCCAGTTAGAAAAACAACATTCTTCTTCTTCTCTATGTAATTGCTTATTAATTATACCACCTACCAAGCATGGCATCTGTCTCAGCACACATGGCATAATAAAATGCTCTAATATCTCTAATTTCTTTCTTTGTGAACTGCCCAGTGCAGTTTTTAGTGTAGGAAGAATAATAGTCTATAGGGTGCATTTCTGACAGAGGAGACCACTTTGGAATTTTGATAGCTTTATAAAATACCTAAAAAATGGAGAGAAAATTCAGTTACATAAAGATGAGAGTTATATATTTTTACATATTATAAATGCCAACCTACAGTTTTTAATTAAGGATGGGGAGGAATGACTTGCCATAAATTATTTAAAACAAATATTTAATCAATTAAATACGGAAAGTATGCACCAATTAAATGATTTGACATTTAAGTTACTGTATATATTTGTACATGTAGAATGAGACATTTCTGAAAATTATTTTAAAAGCTGTATAGCCAAACTGAAATAGCTATAATTATATGCTAACACAGAAACTCTAAGTAGTACAAAAAAAAAAAAGAAAACCAACAGTTCAGTATGATGGTAAGTCTTCTTTTTTTCCTTCTTTTTTTTGTTAGGCAATTGGGGTTAAGTGACTTGCCCAGGGTCACACAGCTAGTAAGTGTCAAGTGTTTAGTCAGGCTGGATTTGAAATTAGGTACTCCTGACTTCAGGGCCGGTGCTCTATCCACTGCACCACCTGGCTGCCCCCTGATGGTAAGTCTTAAAAATCAACACTGGTTAATTCTTAAATATCAACACCAGGAAGTAAAGAATTTGGTTTCAGCTCTTCTTTCTCTTCCTGTTAGCAATGGTAGAAGTGCATATAATTCAGGGAGATACCCAAATGTTTATTTAAATAATATCCATGGTTCACATTTCTACAGGGCTTTAAGGTCTGCAAAGTGTTTTCCTTACAATGATCCTGTGAGGTAGTGTAGTGCGGGTATTATTATTCTATTTTACGGATAAGGAAACTGAGGCTCTGAGGCATGTTAATTGACTTGCCCATGGTTATCCAACTGCAGTCTATGGCAGGATTCAAAACCAGGTCTCTCAACTTTAAGTACAGTGCCCTTTTCCTATCCAATATGTTGCTTATAAACAAATGTCTTTTTATTTTTACATATACATGCCTCCAAGTTTAGCAGACATTTAATTACAGTAAAATACCTTTAACTTTGTGAGGATTGTATGAAATGATCTCTAGGGTAATACTTTGTGACTATAAAACACTATATAAATGTAAACATATTGTTGTCATGAAATATATTGAAAAATGACTTGTAAAGAAGTTCAGAGATATGCTTATTGATTTCTTTTATTAACTTAACTCCTTCCATCAGAATAGCTTCCACTTTTTTGCAAGAAGATGCTATTGTTTTCCTCACAGATAAGGCTGAGAGGCAGCACAGCATGGTGGGCAGAAAGTTGGCTTCAGAGGCAGGAAGCCCTACTTTGATCATGCTTATATTATATGGCCCTGGGCAAGTGTCTTGATCTCTCGGTACTCTCAGGCACCGCAGGGCTTCTGAAACTTTGCCCACTATGACCCTCTTTTGCCTCTCAGTTGCCTGGCCTGAGGACATTCACAGTGCAAAGTGCACAGGCTTTGTGTTCAGAGCCAAGGTTGCAGTGAAGTTGTCCTGTACAACGTGGGCAAGTACTGCCAGAAACACCATGGATTTATTATGTGTTTAATTGTTAATTAATTTTGGTTGTTAACCATTCAGAAACTTTTTACTGTTGCCAAATTTTTCACGACTTGGGGTCTTGACCCACAGTTTAAGAAGCACTGTGAGTCTAAGCAAGCCTCTAAGACTAGAAGTTTCAGAGAAGGGGCTGTCCTACATTGGTAGAGGCAGTTTCCTTTTCTTGGAATTCCCTATAATAATGAAATAACAGGTACAATCCATATTCTTATAGATAAAACAACTTTATGGTAATCCTTTACAATGGCTCACATTAATATGTTTAAGATTTACAAGGTTTACTTGTCTCCTAAGATACCCTGTGAGGTATGTTGTACAAATATTATGATCTCTTTCATAGGTGAAGAAGTTTGACTCTGGGAAAATGATATGCCCAAGGTCACAGAGAGAACTGGGACTTGAAAGCAGGGGTGGGGAAGCTACAGCCTCGAGGGAGGCCAGGTTCCCCACCTGCTTCCTAGGACTTCTGACTCCAATATCAAGTCTTTCTACAACCATCATGCTTCCTCTGCTTTAGCTGTGAGAACACATATACACATATCAGACACGAGGCAATATAATTGAGTTTAACAGATGAGTTATGCTCATTTTTGCAAAGTTGCCTCCTTAGCTATTATATATTATATTATATGTTATATATTATATATGAGGCTTTGAATTAGAATATTCATTTTTCATACCTCTAACCTTGGATGCAAGGAAAAAGAGAATGGAATTCTCAGTAAAACATGCATAAATAAATTTCTGTTTCTGAAAGTATACTTACTTTTTCAAGCCAATAAGGAGATGTCTGAAATGTGGAGGACCCAAAATTTTCCCCGGTATATGGTGATGGATAAGGATGTGGTAAATTTAACCCCAAATAAAGAACAAATGGTTGAGTAAAGTTAATTGCTTCTTTTCTTAACCAGCTTGCTGCTTTATCTGTATTCTGCCAGTCTTCTTCCATTATTCTTGTTTTTGTCTTATCAGGGATAAGATTAACCACAGGCCTGCCCTCCTGACGAAGCAAGAAATCAACATCTCTTGTCCATGCTTCCACACGATTACTGAGGAGAAAAATGGAGCTTTCCTATATTTTACTTTAAAACTCTGCTTTTACCATATATTCAATAATGAATAATAATAGCTAGATGGGAAATGATATGTGAAACAAATTTTGCATTCAATCTTGTTTCTTATGGAATAATATGAGATCATAAAAAGCTGTTGTACAGTTTACTGCATTATCAAATTAAAAATTAGGAAAATATGCAAATCAAAAATTTGATAATATATTTTTCAGAATGACCATGTTATGTTGCTTTAGAGACACTAGTTATTCCTATTATTAGTTCAACATATTTATTCAAATAAAAAGTGATTTAGAGTCAGTCATTGTTTTTCCTTATTCACTTTATTTACAGCTTGTATTCCTTTTGTCAGAAAAATAAACCATAATATTTCTAATCAATGATCCTATAATTCATTTATATCACTTGATCCTTACATTTTAATTCTATGTCTCATGCATATTCAAATACTTTCACCATTATCTTAATTTTTGACTCTGCCTTTTGTGATTTCTAGGGCAATTATAACACTCTGGTGGTATCCTTCTCTACTTGTACAGATGTAATTTTACCCCCTGGTGTTTTCATGCTTAAGCTTTACAACTTAAGTGGATCACTGACCTCAATGATGTTGGTATTCTCCCTCCACTGGTACAGATTACAACTCATCCATGTGTTCCTGCCCAATGTGATTCTCATTCATGTTTATCATATTTGAAACCTTTATTTGTTTTCACCTTACTGGTGTGACACACATTCAATCTTGAGGAATCATTTTATAACCTTACCTCAGAGAAGGGAATATTATTGTGTCACACGAAATGATAAAAGGAACAGTTCTGGAGAAATCTGGGAAGACTTTAATGGGACTGATGCATAGTGAAGTGAGCAGAACCAGGAAAACAATTTATGCATTAGTAACAAAACTGTTAAGAAAAACAACTCTGAAAGACTTAAGAATTCTAATCAATGCAATGACCAAACTCAATAATATAACTCTTTAAGATGAGATGGATGCAAACTAGAGAATAAGATATAAATTTTTGGACATGGTCAATGTGAGAATTTGTTTTGCTTGACTGTGCCTATGCAAGAATTTTATTTTTATTTTTTCAATTTTTTTGGGTAAGGGAGTTAGAAAGGAGTGAGGGGATGCAGTCCCCTCTTCCCTCTGTCCCCTACCTTTCTCCTTTCCAAAGGGATCCCTATTGGAGTATTTTTGAAATGTGTAGAAGAGAGGAGGAAGTCTAAAAGGAACCACAAACAAGCAGGATATTTTTTGAAACTTACGTGCTGAAAGTATTGAATTCTTAAAAAAAGAGAAGTAAGCTCTACATTATAGAGATCTGTAATTTCATATATAATCTTTTTTGTTCTACTATGTATAAATAAATTGCTGACTTTGTTGGCTCAAGGGATCAAGGAGGACTGCTGACTTCACTTCCTAAGTGACTGTTTGAGTGAAAAGAAGCCAAGAGGAGCTGAAGGGGCTCTCAGATGTTTGGCTGGGAGCTCCCAATGAAGCTTCCTTCAGTTGAATCAACTCAAGGGGTTCTCAATGCTCATCTTTGTGGAATATCTTCCTCCTGCCATGGCTAAATACATTCTCTTTTCTTAACTGGTGAAATGACCTATGACTGCACATTTTGCTCCAGTATCAAACCTAAATTATGAGAAGACTAGCTTGAGTTATGCCCAGTCCCGAAGAGAAATGCTAAATTTATTTTTTTTTAAGTTTTTGTTAATTTTTTAAAGTTCAGAATAAAATTGTCTATCTTGTCTTAATAACTTTATCCCTCAGAAAGGAGAGGAACCAGTGAAACTGCTTCTTTGGACTTAGGAGTGGAAATGGCGGGAAACTTGAGGAAGTGACCATTCTACCTTAGAATTTGTTATAGAATAGAGAAAAGTGGGCATAATTTGATAGATATGGACCTTAGGTATGTGGAAAGAAGGTTTTAAAGGGCTTACAGAAAGGATTGGTAGATGGACTAAAGTTCTATAAGGGGAAGTTAGCTTTGGAAGAGAATCATAAAAACAAAATTTTGAAAACACATTTTAGATTAAGAGGAAAAGGAGGAATTGCCTAGATACCAATATAGAGATACAAAGGAACTCAACAAGCAAAGCTGTTTTTTAAAATTTTTGTCTCTGTAGCCCTAGCACCTAGCACAGTGCCTGGAACACAGCAGATGTTTAAAAAATGTTTGTTAGAATTTAATGGATGACATCTAGGAATGAAGTCTCACTGGAATGACTCAGATACATGTTTGACCTTGTGCCAACATTTTTATCAGTGACTTGGATAAAGACAGAGATGGTATGCCTTTCAAATGTGCAGATCACACAAAGCTGGAAAATTCAACAAAGAGGTGGTAAGGTGGCATCGTGAATAGTGTGGGACCTGGAGTCAAGAAAATCTGAATTCCAAACCTCAGAAACTTATTCATTGACCCTCGGCAAGTCACTTAACCTCTACCTCAGTTTCCTCATCTGTAAAATGGGGACAATAACAGCATATATCTACCTCCCAGGGTTGCTGTGAGGATAAAATTAGATATTTGTAATGCACTTTTCAAATCTTAAAGTACCATATAAATGCTGTTATTATTATTGTTATTGTTGTTATCATTATAAATAATAAACTCCTTGAGATTATAAGATGGAGAGAAAGGTTCCATCTGTATTGGTGGAAGGGGTTTCCTCATCTGAGAACTTCCTAAACCAATAAAATTGCATGTCCAATTCCCATCAGTGGATAGCAATTAGTACCTAAGAAGTATTCAAAAAATCTTGATAGGCTAGAACATCATGTTAAATCTAACAAAGTGAAATTTAATGGATATAAATGTAAAACTTTACACTTGGGTTCAAGAAATCACTCATATGTACAAGATGAAGGAGGTATGGTTAATTAGGCAGCAATTCATCTGAAAAGGATTTATGGGAATTAGTTGATGAGACTGAATATGAATCAATATTGTAACATGGCATCCAAGATGCCTGCATTAAGACAGGAACGGTATCCAGGAAACAGGCTACAACAGTTCACTGTACTCTGTTCCAATCAGATCATATCTAATAGAATGCTTGTTCTGCTTGACTCCAATGGATAAAATGTGGAGCAACGGGTGGAAGCTGGAAATGGACAAATTTAGGCTTGATTTAAAGAAATAACTTTCTAACAATTCTGGGTATCCCAAAGTGAAATGGGTTATACTTGGGGAGATGGTGAACTCCCCTTCACTGAAGATATTCAAGTAAAAACTTGACCATTTGTCATATATGTTGTAGAATGTAGTTTTGCTTAGATATGGGTTGGATTTAATGGTCTTTGAGGTCCCTTCCAAGATGGAAATTCTGTAGTTTTGTTTGAGGCATAAATTAGGGAGATAATTGCTTGCCAAGGTGGTTTGTCACTGTCATTATTTTATTTGGGTTACAAACAAGAAGAATTTACATTCTTACCCATTTAAAAATTAAATGGTTTAACTTGTTATTTACTTGTTATTTGTTTGATTTTAATTTTAATACTTATAATATTATGGAAATAATAATAAATAATAGAGAAATGATAAGATAAACAGTGGCTGGCCTAATTAGTCATTCAATCAGTCAATAAGCATTTATCAAGTGCTCACAGTGTGTCAGGCACTGAGTTAAGTGCTGGGGATATAAAGAAAAACAAAAACATGGTGTCTGCCTTCAAGGAGCTAGCACTTAATGAAGGAGAAAACATGCAAATAACTGTACATATTTTATCTATATATATATATATACATATATACACATATATATATACATATATACATATATATATATACACACACACATATATACACATACAGTGCATATGGAAGATAATCACAGAGGGAAAATATGAGCAGTGGTGGAAATAGTAAAAAATCTGTGGAAGACAGCATCTGAGCTGAGTCTTAAAGGAAGGCAGGGAAGCCAGGAGGCAGAGGTGAGGAGGGAGAGCATTCAAGGAACGGGGAATTGCCAGTGAGAAGGCTTAAAGTAAGACTATTGAAGTGTTGTGTTTCAGCAACAACATGCAGTCCAATGTCATTAGATTGCAGTGTGTGTCAGAGGGAATAAAGTGTAAGAAAAATGGAAAGGTAGGATGGGGCCAGGTTGTGAAAGAATTTAAATGTTAAATATAGGACTTTATATTTGATCCTGGAGGTGACAGGGAGGCACTGGAACTTACAGTATGAGGGTGATATGATGAGACTGACTCTTTAGGAAAATCACTTTGGCAGCTAAGTGGAGGACGGAATGAAGTGGGGACAGACTAGAGGCAGGCAGAGCAATCAGTAGGACATTGCCACAGTATAGGTATGCGTTAAGAAGGGGAAATCTTTGAGAGATGCTATGAGAGATGGAGGTAGAAATGACAAGATGTGACAACAGACTTAATATGTATTTGCAACAAGAGTTACAGATGACACCTAGACTGCAGGCTTGGGTGACTGGGATGTGGTGGTGGGTGCCCTTGACAGTAACAGGGAAGCTCAGAAGAGGAGATTTTTTTTTTCGGGGAAAAGATAATGACTTTTGGACATGATGAGTTTGAAGTACCTAAAGGACACCCAACCTGAGATATCTAAAAGGCAGTTGCAAGTATAAAAATGGAACTCAGGAGAGAGATGACAGTTTGATATGCAAAATCTGGAATCAGTTGCATAGAGATGATAGCTGAACCCATTGGGGGGTTGATAAGATCACCAATCAAGACAGTCTAGAGGAAGAAGAGAAGAGGGACCAGGAAAGAGTCTTGGTAAACACCCACTTTAATGAGTGAGTCTGGATATTGGATGTTCCAAAAAGCAAAAGATAAAGCTTACAAACAAGAATAACTTATACAGCAAAAAATAATATAGTCTGACAGAGGAAAAATGGACCTGAATGAAAGAGAGCACATTTAAACATTCCTGATGAAAAGACTAAGTAGAAAGGCTAAAAGGTAAACACAGGGGTCAAGAGAAATATAA